AAATTGTGAGCAGCTTCTAGGCTCATTGGGTTTGTTTGCCTATCGAGTTGGAACCCTGGACAAGTTGAATGGTGCCTTGTCTGATTATGGGCCTGAAAACTGTAGAGGTTTTCCTAGAGTAACAGTTAAAGAACGGAAAGGACAACAAACAGCAATAGAGAGACAAAATATACATGTTGCATCTTTTTCAGGTACTGTCATCAGTCCTTTAATCTATTGTTCATCACCAATGTAATGCTGTCAGGAATATGCCAAATGAATGAACCCATTTACAGAGTGAACATAATTTATAACTTTGTGAACATAATTGCATACAGTCTTAGGAAACAACTTTTTCAATTTTCACTCCGATTGCAATGTGAAGGTCATGGAGTAGTATACATACTTGTGCCATTTTATGACACTGATGCAAGTTTGGTGGTCGGTATTTAAAGTCAAGGTAAATTCTTTATCAGGTTCGATGGAGAGAGAAGTTCTTAAAAACTTTGAAGAAATTGTAGCAAGGTCACTCCCCCTTGAGAAAGTTGCCCATTACTATGAGGAANAGGGTTACCCATCTTTGATAATTTAATTTCTTATTACATTCTTGTTTTCTTTTGCTATACTCTCTAGTGCAAGGAGTGGGGCTTTTTGTTGAAAAAGCTATTTGGACTACACCTTGGCACTGGTGATTATGGGCACCTTGTCATAGATCACAGTGCTATGCTCCTACGGCACTTTAGGTCCTTCTATAAATATTCTGGCCAAGGATTTGAGGCTTCTCACAAGCTACACAGACAATTGTATTCTAAGGCAACAAATCATGATTCATCTGGACCTGGCCAGTCATGTGAGTTACAAGATACTGTATTATTATCATCATCCTTGTCATCATTATCATAACTGTTATCAGTATTAATTATAGTTATTTTACTTATTATAGTCCAGTCACACTAGTTTCAGTCACTTTTATTTCTGAATACTCCCTAGAGTGTCTGTTGAGGCCATAATGATATAGAATCAAGTTTAAATGAAAGTAAAATAAGTTGTAATATCAAATAAATTGGGTTTGAAAACANCACATAAAGGTCAAAAATCTTAGGCTTGCTCTTCACTCGTTTAGAGTTCGATCGATATGAAGCTTAATGGGCGTTTGAAAGGGATCTTTTTTTGGCAAATTGCATTTCTAATTAAATCTAAACGAAGGTTTTAATTGCATCAGTTCCAATTTGCCTGTCCACAAACAGAATTAAAAGCAAAAAAATGTTAGATCACGGAATGATAAAATTATTTATTTCAGAGGACTGCATTGTCCGTGGAGGAGGCTATTGAAACTCATTGCTACATCAGATTTAAAAGCGAAGTATGGTTCTCCCCATGGAAACGCCAACGGCATGGGGACATAAGGCCACCTAAAAGCGAACATTGTATTATGACAATTCATACAATTGAAATAGATCACGGAAAGGAAAAAATTATTCATTTATTATTGAAGCTTGATCCAATGAAAAAGTTTCTGAAAATTGTTCTTGGGACACAAAGATATTTACATAGCCGCTACCCGAAGGAAGGTAAAATATTTATGGGCTATAATTTTATGATTGTCTTGCTTTGATGCAGCACAACAATACATCGCTCTTTTCTATNCTGAAAATTGTTCTTGGGACACAAAGATATTTACATAGCCACTACCCGAAGGAAGGTAAAATATTTATGGGCTATAATTTTATGATTGTCTTGCTTTGATGTAGCACAACAATACATCGCTCTTTTCTATCGCTCAGAAGACATGAAAAACGAAGAAACTGCCACCGTTTATTCGTAAAAATGACAACGCTTCTACATAATTCTTGCACGCTCTGAACAACCTAAAGAAAGGCGAAGTATAGTTCTCCCATGGAAACGCCAACGACACGGCGGCTATGAGGCCACCTAAAACTGAGCAAATATTGTAATTTGACAATTCAAACAATTGAAATAGGTCACAGAAAGGAAAAATTATTCATTCTTGTAGCTTGATCCACTGAGAAAGGAGAAGAAAATTGTTCTTGGGACACAAAGATATTTACATAGCCACTATCAGAAGGAAGGTAAAAGACTCTACGAGTTACAATTTCATCTCACAGTTTATAGGATTCTTAACAACGACACAATCGGATGTCCTCGTGATTGTCTCCTCTGATGCAGCACAACAATACATCGCACATTTTTGTCGCTCAGAAGACAGTAACATGAAGAAACTGCCACCTTTTAGTCGTTAAACTGATAACACCCCAATATAATTTTTATCCGCTCTCAACGTCTTAAAGAATAAAGTCGCGGGGTCGCTTTGCGTACATTTCATTTTAGTTACGGGTAGCTTGCCACTTCAAGTTAATCCGTCGTACATGTAGTTATATCCAGTTTTTACCCTCGCGCCTCTCAGAATTTTTTTTTTCGTTTTGTTTAGTTCCACTTACGATGAAAACTTTGATTCTCTTTATCGTGGCCATTTTCCTGGTGTCGGCTGTGAACTCCCGTACTGTCCACGAAGGTAAGAACATTTTAACCAAGTCTCAAACATTCATAACTGTCTGTTGCAATTAACTTTTATTACGTTCTGCAAATGGTTAGGAATGCAACCTGGAAGTTTTAAGAGCATATACACCAAAGCTCAAGTGCTATTAAAACCATCCCTTATCAATTTCAAGAACACATTGTTTTTATTTTGAACTTTGAAAATATCAATTATCTTTTATACAACGGTACGACTCAAGAGTAGTGTAGAGGTTCTAGCAATTGCATTAAATGCAAATGCAGAGCAGCCGAGAAAAAGCAAAATGACAAAATGTACGGACTAGATTATTTGCTGATTACGGATACAGCTTACTTACAGTTATGCTGATTTGTAATTGTTGCACAGACCCCGGAGAGGAAAAACGAGACGAGGGCCTGCGGACTGATGTCACCAACGAGAAGAGATTGGTCATTCCTGGTCGTCCGCATCCCTGCGACAACTGTTACTGTTCAACTGCTATTCCTCTTAAAGGAATATGTAAGAGCTGCTGTTCGTAGCATATCAAGGTAAGAAAGAGGCAATAACCCCAGTGAATTTTTTTT